GTGCTGGTGGTCCACCCAGAGCCAGGGCGGGAGATGTCACCTCCCCACACACAGACTGGCCATCCACAGCCAAGGCTCGCATCCCAAAGCAAGGTTGGGCCAAGGCAGGCCAGGACTTGTGGTGGACAGTTCAGGCGCCCCATGATCAGCACTCCAGTCAGTGCCTCCTTTCTCCAGAGGCATTTAATGGCCACCAGAGAAATGAGACAGGAGGAAGCAGGGGGCACAGAGCCACTGGAGTGGCCATAGAAATATTAGCTGGGTGCCCTGGCCACAGCAAGACCAGCTTCAGCTTCTCTGCCTCCTGCCTAAACTTGAGCCTGCCCACAGCCTTTACACTATGTGCCAGGCATTCAGCTAAATGCTTCCCATGCATTAATTGCCTGTTTAATACTTACAGCCCACCCATGAAATAGGTACTTCCATTACGCTCATTTTACAGATGTGGAAACTGAGGCCCGAGAGCTCAATTAGCTTCCTCCAGCACCACACAGCCAGAAACCGAGGAGGCTGGGATCAAATCCAGGTCCATCTGACTTCCTAGACCAAGTCATTTCTCCTTTATTTATTTATTTGTCATCTAAACTAGTTGACTTGGTTTGTATTCTCCCAAATACAAACCCTGGGACAAGGGTTTGGGAGTGTGTAGTTTATTCAGGAGAGGCAGAAACACCGGCGAGAAAGGCAGGCAGCCAGAAGCGTGTGTTGTCAAGCCAGTGACTGATTGGGAAACAGGGCAACGATTGGCAGAGAGCGGAGAACACACTCCCTAGAGCTATTCTGACCAGGGAGTTAGGGACCTGGGATGGTGGTTAGACACCCACTTTAATTAGCTGTTGGTTGAGGGCTGCCCGGGGGCTGTTCATTCCCTGGCACTTCTGGCCTGACCCAGCAGAGCAGCCTTCGGGACGAAGCACCCAGTCACAGAGACGCAGATCCTCCTGGCTGTTGGAAGAAGTCAGGAGCATGATGAAAGATACAGTCCAAAGGAAAGGCACACGGGCAACGCATCGACAGCTTCTGTACACTAGTTTTTATTACAAAAGGGATAAATGCACAGAGCAAGAAGTTTAAACACCCCAGAAAAGTACTGATAAAGATGTATCTTCTCTCTTCCTGACTCCCAGTCTCACTTGCCTAAGGCAACCACCTGTCACCTACAAATTGGCACTTGCTCTCTACCTCTACAAGGATCAAATTATGAGCTGCTGCAGCTGCTGAGCATTGACACCCCCTGAAAGGAGTTCAGGGTGGAGATCAGGAATGAGGCCCTCTGTGCTCTGGGAAAAACTGGCAGAACATGTCTTTAGATATTTAGATATTTTCAGGAGAAGACTTTATGAGCCCAACTCTTGCATCTCCTCGTATCTAGAAAAGCACTAAAATCCTTCATGACTAGCAGCAACCTTCTGCAAAAATTATGTGCTGGATTGCATGTACTCCCCCTTCACCAAAATCATATATATACTCATCTTTCCCCCTACCTCTTTGGAGCAGTTTCTCAGAGCTATCTGAAATGCTGTCTCCTGGACTATAGTCCTCATTTTGCCCCTCATTAAGTTTGTAAAATGTAACTTGCAACTCGCACATTGTGCATTTTTTTCAGTCAACACAACTTTGATAGTTTGCATCCATCAAGTTGCTAAGCATACGTGTATTTTTTTTTACATGAATAGGATCATACAGTGCATGTCCTTGTGCACCTTGTTTTTTTTCACTTAAGAATATATCTTTGCTGAGTCCCCTATGAATTGGCAGTTAGGTTGTTGCTAGTTTTCTACAACCACAAATAGTGCTGCCTGCATCCTTGTACATGAACCTCTGTGCAAATGCGTAGGACACATTTCTGGAGGTGGAATTGCTGGGTCAATGGCACGTGTGTGTATGTATGTATGTATTTTGGGCTGTGTTGGGTCTTCATTGCTGTGTGCAGGCTTTTCTCTAGTTGTAGCGAGCGGGGGGCTACTCCTGCGGTGCGCAGGCTTCTCACTGCGGTGGCTTCTCTTGTTGCGGAGCACGGGCTCTAGGCGCACAGGCTTCAGTAGTTGTGGTGTGCAGGGTCAGTAGTTGTGGCTCGCGGGCTCTAGAGCGCAGGCTCAGTAGTCGTGGCGCACGGGCTTAGTTGCTCTGTGGCACGTGGGATCTTCCTGGACCAGGGCTCGAACCCGTGTCCCCTGCATTGGCAGGCAGATTCTTAACCACGGAGCCACCACGGAGCCACCACGGATTCTTAACACCGGTATGTGTGTCTAGCATTTTAACATATGCTACCAGATGGTCCTCCAAAAAGGCTGGCCCAGGAGACACACATGCCAGCAGAAGCAGAGGGTTCCAGCTTTGCACACTCTTGGAGGCTCTCCCCTCCTCGCCACTGCCTGCTTCAATCCTTCCATGGCCCTGGCTGCAACTGTACCAGATTTTACAGCTTCCCTGATGAAATAAATGAGAACCCTCAGATGGGAACCAGCAAAGGTAGTTTATTTAGCGCTTGCCTGGCAAGGGAATCAGGCGCATCACCTGTGTTTGGCAGAGACTCACAGGCCTCCAGGAAGTGGGAGAGCTTCAGAGAGGACCAGAGGGAAAGCACAGGTATATCTTGAATGGAGGCTGTTGGCCTGGGAAGCTGGAGGTGGGATAACTAGAAGCAGACATCTTCTGTGATTGATTCAGGAGTATATTTGGTCTTCTCTGGTTGGTTCTGAGTTGGAGAAAGGGGACAATTAGGAAGCTGGCAGTCACTGACCAATCTCATGATTCTGGGGTTTTTGCTGCAGAGGCTGTGCGTCAGAGTTCTGTTGTCACCTACAGTCTGACCAATGTCTGTTTGTAGTTCCGTCTCTCACCTGAAGACACCAACTCTCTTCCATCCTTAGAAAAACACTCTGTGGGAATTCCCTGGCGGTCTAGGGGTTAGGACTCTGTGCTTCCACTGCTTGGGAACTGGTCGGGGGTGAGGGTGGGGAACTAAGATCCCTCACAGCTGCACGGCACGGCCAAAAAAAAAAAGGAAGCAAAGACTTTTTAAAAAGAAGAAGAAACACTGTTCTTTAGAGAGTGAAAAAGCTCAATCACCGTTCAGAGGCCAGCTCTGGGCCGAGGATTTCTGCAGGCTCTCTTCCCCCATCAGAATGTCCTCTCTTGTTTTTAACGCTACCCTTGATTCTGCTTTGTATCGAGTTAAAAGAACCTTAATAGTCTGCTGCCAGGCCTTTCCTGTGCTCTGCAGACTCTCTGTACCTGAAGGCTTGTTTTGAACAAGGCTTGTTTTGAACAAGGTGGAAGGTTGCCCTGCTCCCACCTGCAGGAAGACCGACCCTCCCCGCAGCTGACGATGACTAATGGAGGGGGTGTAATTCTGAGGGGTGGGTCTCACACCACTGCCCAGTGGCTGGAGCTCTAATTCCCCTCTGCTTGATAACACACTCTTATTGGCAGCTTTCCTTCCCTTGTATTACCTCCTCATTTTCCTGGTGTTGTTTCCTGTACCTCCCAAATATAATATCTGAACCCAAATCTTTGTTTTCAGGGACTGCTTCTGGGGAAAACCCAAACAAAATTGAAAGGTTTCCTTATCCGCATTTTACAGATGAGGGAAACTGAGGCTCAGAGAGGTTAAGTAACATATTTCAAAGTCATGCAGCTTATCAGTCAGGATTGGTATTAAACCCACACTGCTTTTGATTTGTGAGTGTGGTTGTGTTATTTTTCTCCCTAATCCTTTGAAGCCAGAGGCCAACCACCTTTTATAATTTAATAGTCTTTTGATGCCTAAGCAGCTCCTTGTGCAATAATATGTTCTGTCACAATTTTTTACAAATTTAACTGAATCCAGCTATGCATGTATGTTTTTCAGGGTTCATAACAGGATTCCCAAGGGCAGGCCAAGACCACTCCTGGGATACCCTGTGCTCAGGCTGTCTTCATTCCCCCCCAGCCTCGGATGGGCAACTCAGGGTGATTTCTGGGGCACGCACTCCACTGTTGACACCCCAACTCTGCCACCCAAGGGAGATGAGAACAGGCAAGATACGACCACCTTCGAAGGAGAAATCACATTTTACTTAGATTGTTATTTGAGAACAGCAAGTGTGTCCATCTACACTCGACATACAAATCACATAGTATAGAAAAAAAGAAAAAGCTGGGATCCTCTCCCCCCTCAGCTCTCACCCCAACTTCCCCTCACCAAAATGTGGGGAAAGACCAGGCTTAAAGGCAGAGAGGGCCTTTGTCCCCAGAGTAGCATGGAACACGCTGTGCCGTGAAGCAAAACGTCTCCTTAAACCCATATCTTCACAAAGGAATTCAACTCCCCAGGCTGGCCCCTCATCCAGGTCCTCCAGGTCCATTTCATTACAAAAACCAATGAATTTCTGAAAAACTTTATTAGTCGTATCCCACGAGAGGTGCGAAAGGAGGGCCAGGATCTGACAGTGAACGCAGCAAAGAGCCCTATGCTTTTGTTGGGTTTTTATTCACCTGGGAGGCTGCAAGTGGGACAGGCCAGGAGCATCCCCACTGTAATGCAGAGCTACGGGTGTTGAGAGGTCACCCATCCCCAGACAGATAGACAGACAGCCCGTAGGCCCCACAGCAAGACCAGAGGGCCCATAGAAGACGGCTGCAGGCTAAGGTACAAGCAGAGTCTGTCTGCAGGGTAGGACTCATGCACTTGGGCTCTGATGGAACCCAGAAGTCAGGAAAGTGCCAGCTCCAGCTCAGGGGGAGGACAAAGGACCGCCATGGCCCTCCTTCTGGGACCTTCTCTCCCAGCTCAGGAAAGGCAAGAGGCCCGGGATGCTTGGAGCCCTCATTCAGCCCCCAGGAGCAGGCCTCCCCTGCCTTGGGTTCTTTTAATAGACTAGACACATCCCCTGAGAATGATGCTAAGAAACAGGACCATTAGCCCTTTGCCTATCACCGCTGGCTTACCAGGCCCCAAGCAGCCTTTTAGGAGGCGAGACCCAGGTCCAAGCTCAGGGCTGGGGGCCAGGCAGGGGTTAGTTGAAGGTGCTGTTGGCAGGGTGCCTCTGGACAGTGACTTTGGCACCCATCACTCTGGTCCTAGTGGACGCTTTCTTCTGCTTGGCATCCAAGTTCTTCATGTACCTCTGGACCCACAGCAACTTGGGGTTGCCACAGAACCTCTGGCCCTTCCTGGTGGTGAAGCTGTGGGAAGAGTGACAGGGCACACGTGAGGTCTGGCAGGGGGTTTGGATCCCTTCACTTTCTGAGGAGGTCGTGTGGAAGCCCAGAGGACACGCTGCTGTCCCAGCCTCCTGGCAGGTTCCTGACACGATGTCTCCTCTCTGTGCGTCTGCATCTCTGTTTCAATAACCTCATGTTCATGTTCAGTAACCTCCTTGTCATATGGGGGAGGCCCAGCCCTGCCTTTAGATAACACTGGGTCTGAAGAGAGAGACACAATGTCTACTCACAGGGGCGAGAGAAGATGCACTGAAAACCCTGAAGAAAAACGGCCTCCAGTTCACACAGTGTGCAAGGAAGTGTGGCCGATAAGGATGCCAGAGCTGGGAGTGGGCAGTGGGATGCCATTTTCCAAGCCAGCTCCGAGCGGTGGATGCCAGGCTGTGGAGCTGGGTCTGGAGCCAGTGGGGAAAATTACGGTTAATAATTAATTTTTTTTTCTCAAAGATGCAGACAAAATTAAGATTCAAAGTTTTAATTAATTTCCATACTGATGAAAATAATTCCATGAATTCGGTAAACCATTGCATAAATGCTATAGTGTAAAAAAATTTAAACAAGTGTTAGCAACTTTAAACAATTCACTACAAGTAAATGATTATGCATTATAAATATACCTTCTGGGTTAAGAAAAGATCACATTTCTAGGGCATGCCACTGTTTACACAGTGAGCTCACATTTGCTGTCTTGTAACTCTGAAGTTATTTGGAGTCCTAAGTGACCTTGAATAGGTCACCTTTCTGAGCCTTAATCGCCTCCTGTAAAATGAGGATAATCAATCCTAGCTCATAGAATGGCTGAGAGGGTGAGATAAGGGAATGTTATATGCCCCGAATGGTGCCTCGTATATATCTGGTGCTCAATACATGATTATTGACTCTGAATCCTCTTCCTAATCTTATGCATGAGGAAGTTGAGGCTCAGAGAGGTGAGGTGACCTCCCCAGGATCACAGAGCAGGGCCCTCAGTGATCCTGAAGGCTCACGTCTCCCTGCCCCACTCCTGCCAGGTGGCCAAGGAGTAGTAGTTTCTTACATCACTCCTGCCTTGGGGCAGACACTCCTGTTGGACAGCTGGTAGTTTATCACTCGTCTCTCAGGAATTTTCTTGGAAATGAAGGCTATGCAGCAGGAAGAGGGGATGATCATGGAGCCTAAAAGACAGGAGAGAGAGGAGCCAAGTTCTTTACTGGCCTGTTTTAGACTCTGGGCTTCAACATGGAGCCCGTCCCCTGCACTAAACACCTCCAGTCCAGCCACTGGGCTGCCCCCTTCTCAGCAGTCCCCTCCAGACCCAGGCTGCTCGGTCTTCCATCCTCTGCTGTGCCATTCCAGCCATGCCCTTGGGACGGCTGTCCTGCGTGAGAGACCCAGGGTGGGGTCAGAGATCTTACCTGCAAGGACAATGCAGTAGGTGCACAGGGCCATGAGCAGGAGGCCGGTTGCCATGGTCATGGGGGCTGCCGTGTCCTGGAGAGCAGAGGAGGCAGCTCAGAGCTCAAAGCTGGGGGCAGGAGGGGCGGGGCTGGGACAAGGGGTGTGGTTCCCTGCGAGCACTCCAGCTGCCCTCTGGCCTTTACCAGGGCAGCTAGGAGGAAACATGTGCTTATATATAGCCTCCCCAGGGAGGCTTCCCCTTCCCTCCTTCAAAGTCCTAGAAGCCTCTGAGATCAGCAAAATGGAATTCGTTGCTACCTGAGTCAGGGGTTATCTTGTACTCTAAGAAAGGGCTCGTGGGGGAGGGCATTGCCCTGCTAGGGTGAAGTGCGTATGCATTGGACGCATGATGGGGATCCTGGCTGTGCTGCTCATTTCCTGTGGGACCCTGGGTAAGTCATTCACTTCACCGAGCCTCAGTTTCTTCATCTGAAAATGAGTAAAGTTATCCTCTCTCCTTCCATTCATTCATTCATTCACCAACTCTTGTTAAGCAAGTGCCATGTGCCAGGCTTCTACTATGGAGGCAGATGTGAGATCAAGTGTGCAGAATCAACTATTACAGGTGCTGGCGGAGTGGGCATAGAGGAAAGCAGATGCCGTCATTGTTCATTACTATCTCCTCGGACCCCTCTCCCATGTTCATGCGGCACCCGCTCTTGGTGACCTTGCATTCCCAATCCCCAAGCTGCCGGAGCCACCTAGCCTGCAGGCTCTAGGAAAGTGGGAAGTGCCTGGAAACTTACATCCTCAGGGAAGCCCTTGACCAATGCCTGCTGGAGGGGTACAGACTCCAGGTCCAACGTGACATGTACTGTTTCTCGAGTTCCTGGAGGGGTGGAGCCAGTTTTCCTCTGTGAGACAAGACTTGGCTGTCTCCTCCCCTTCAGGGTCTGCTTCCCCCTCCCCTACTGGTTTCCCCTGGAAGCTCTGCCTGATAAACGACTGGCCCTGGAATCCTTGTCTCAGGGTCTCCTTTAGGGACCCCAATCTGAGACAATGGGTATGTGTGAGGGAGTGAGGCACATAGGGAGGACTGGCCTGTTCTTCCGGGGGGAGAGTGGTCATGCACTTGTGGAGTGTGAGGTTGGCTCTGCTGAGGTTTGGAAGATGAAAGGCAGTGGGGACCGCACCGGGGCTCTGTAAACCATAATACTCGGCTCAGTTGTCAGACAGAGTGGGACATGCCACCCACCCACCCCCCACCCCCATTCCAGACTCCCAGCCTGGGACCTCATGTTTAGAGACTCTTGTCTCTGATGCTTCCATTCCCAAACCCTTCGCGTCCTCTCCATTTCACCTCTCATGGAAATACTTGGTTTTCTCCAGCCTCCCTGCTGTGGCCTCCCAGGAGCACACCTGTGTGGCCCACATCACCTGGCTGATGATGACCAGCTGTGTGTCTACATCTCCCACTTGAGCACGAACACCTTGAGATCAATGTCTCATTTCCACGCCCACCAAGTCCCGTGCAGATCATCTGTCCCATGGCCAGTGTTTGTAGAATGAATATATGATGGACCGACTCTGAGTCACTCTCCTTTGGATCAGGGACTCCAATGTGGTCTCTGCCTAGCATGACTGGGGTCAGTGTGTACACAGGGGAGCCATGCAGCAGGTCCCCTGATGGGGACAAGACTGAAGTTGGGGAGGCCCGCAGTGCCTGATCTCATAGTCCTTATTTATGGAGTGAAATATGGTGAGCACCCCACTCAGCTCTTCACTAGCTTTGCACATTCCCCTCCCCAGCCAGCAGTAACAGACCCTCACCTAGCAGAGGAGCATTCAGAGAGAGCCCTTTACATATGCAAGGGCTTCTCACTGAGTCCATTTTAGGAAGCCGCTTCTAATCTTTGCTCCTCAACAATTCAGAGGGGATAGCCTGCTCTCTGTCTGGGTTTTATAACAGGCGGCGCTGGGAGGGATGGCTGGAGATGGAAGAGACAGAGGCAGCACGCAAGAGAAGGGTGAGGACTGGCCTGAGCAGGGTGGGAAGCCTTCGCGCGTTGACCATGTGTTGCAGCTTCATTGGGATGGAAGAAGGTCACTGGGCGGGAGGGTTTGGGGTGGGGTGCCTCACTCCAATTAGTAACACTATTTAGGGTCTTTCCCAAGACGCTTTATTTTTAAAGGCATTTCTTTTAAAGTTTATTTCTTTTATTTATTTTTGGCTGCGTTGGGTCTTCGCTGCTGCGCGCAGGCTTTCTCTAGTTGCGCGAGCGGGGGCTACTCTTCTTTGCGGTGCGCATGCTTCTCGTTGGGGTGGCTTCTCATGCTGCGGAGCAGGGTCTCTAGAGCGCAGTCTCAGTAGTTGTGGCGCACGGGCTTAGTTGCTCCGCGGCGTGTGGGATCTTCCCGGACCAGGGCTCGAACCCTTGTCCCCTGCATTGGCAGGCGGATTCTTAACCACTGCACCACCAGGGAAGCCCCCGAAGACGCTTTTTAAAAAAACACCCAGTCTCGCTGCTCTGTCTGGGAAAGTAAGTAAGGCAGGGACTACCAACCCATTTTACAAAAGGAAAAGCTGAAATCTACAAAAGGTAAGTGAGTAGACATCACCACAGAGCTACTTATGCTGACTCCCAAAATGGGAACTGCACGTTCCCGCTGGAAGGGGGGGTTCCAACAGCCCGAGCAGTTATTCAAATTAAGAGTGAGAGAAGTAGGAGGTCCCAGGAAAGAATAGAAAGGGATATAACTAGTGTAAACAGTGCTGCAATGAACATTGGGGTGCATGTATCCTTTTGGACCATGTTTTTCTCCAGCTATATGCACAGGAGTGGGATTGCAGGGTCATATGGTGAGAGAGCTAACATTTAGATAGAGAAGGAGGAGGAGGAGGAGGAGGGGGAAGGGGGAGGGGAGAGAATGAGGGGCGGGAGGGCAAGACAGCAGATGCAGGCAAATACTTGGGGAACGGGGCTTCCCTGGTGGCGCAGTGGTTGAGTCCGCCTGCCGATGCAGGGGATGCAGGTTCGTGCCCCGGTCCGGGAAGATCCCCCATGCCGCGGAGCGGCTGGGCCCGTGAGCCACAACTACTGGGTCCACGCACCACAACTACTGAACCCCGCGCGCCTAGAGCCCGTGCTCTGCAACAAGATAAGCCACTGCAATGAGAAGCCCGCACACCGCAACGAAGAGTAGCCCCCATTCACCACAAGTAGAGAAAGCCTGTGCGCAGCAACAAAGACCCAACTCAGCCAAAAATAAATAAATAAATACATTTTTTTTAAAAAGAAAAAATATATTGGCTTATTTATTAAAGAGGTAGTTCAGTAAAGTGTATACCTGTTACCGTATTTCAGCAAACAAAAAGTGGTCATTCTTGTTTTGTTGTTTTTATTACAAGTCGTTTACAAGCTGGTGAACTGACTAAGCAATCCACAGGCTCTTCCCTTTTATATATCATGGCATTTAATCTTATCTTTACAGTAATGACCCTGTGGAGTAGATATTATTCATTTTGTTGCACAGATGTGAAGTAACTTGTTCTGGTCACAGTCCCTGACCGCACCTTGTTTGCAGCTGAAACCTGAAAACAAGGGTGTTAGAAATATGGGGAAAGTGAGGGAGAAAAAGGCTAAGAAAGAGGAGGAAAATGGACAAGACGATCCTAAAATTCATGTGGAAATGCAAGGAGCTCAGAACAGCCAAAAGAATCTTGAAAAAGAAAGACAAAGTTGGAGGACTAACACTTCTGGATTTCAAAACTTACTGCACCGTAAAGTAATCAAGGTAGTTTGATACTGGCGTGAGAACAGACATACAGATCAACAGAACAGAGCTGAGAGTCCGGAAGGAAACCCTTATATTTATAGTCAATTGATTTTTGACAAGGGTGCCAAGTTCATTCGATGGAAAAAACAGTCTTTTCAATAGTTGGTGCTGGGACAACCGGATATCCACAGGCAAATAAATAAAGTGAAACCCTACTCCATGCCACATACAAAAATTAATTCAATATGGAGCAAAAATCTAAATGAGAGATAAAACTATAAAACTCTTAGAAGAAAACAGGTATAACTCTTCATGACCTTGGATTAAGTAACAGTTTCTTTGATGTGATATCAAAAGCACAAGCAAGCAAAGGAAAAAGAGATAAGTTGGACTTCTTTAAAATTAAAAACTTTTGTGAATCAAAGCACACTATCAAGAAAGTGAAAAGCCAACCCACGTAATGGGAGAAAATCTTTGGAAATCACCTGATAATTCTAGTATCCAGAATATATAAAAAAAGTCCGCAATACAAAGACAAATAACCCAATTTAAAAATAAGCAAAGAATTTAACTAGACATTTCTCAGAAGAAGATATACAAATGGCCCATAAGCACATGAAAAGATGCTCAACTGTGGATTGCTTAGTCAATAGGGAGAAGCAAATCAAAACCACAATGAGATATCACTTCACACCTACAAGGATGGCTATGAAAAAAAACACAACAGAAAATAAAAAGTGTTGGCAAGGAAATGGGAACTCTCATATATTATTCATGGGAATGTAAGATGGTATAACCACTATGGAAAGGTTTGGCAGTTCCTCAAAAAGTTAAACATAGAGTTACAATATGACCCAATAATTTCACTCTAAAGTGTATACCCTAGAAAACTGAAAATATTTACACAGAAACTTGCACATGAAGGTTCATAGCAGCATTATTCATAGTAGCCAAAAAGTGGAAACAACCTAATGTCCATCAATTGATAAATGGATAAACGAAGGTACAATGCAATATACAGTGGAATTTTATTCAACCATAAAAAGGAATGACGTACCAATATATGCATTATGTTAAAAGACAGACACAACAGGCCAGACATTGTATGATTCCATTCAGAAGAACTGTTCACAACAGACAAATCCATAGAGACGTAAAGTGGATTACTGATTGCCAGGGGCCTGGAAGGAGTAGAAAGTAGGGAGATACAGGGTTTCTTTTGGGGGTGATGAAAATATTCTAGAATTCGATAGCAGTGAGCGTTGTACAAATTGTGAGTATACCACTCACAGGTACACCTTAAAGGGGTTAAAATGATGAAGTTTATGTGATGTGGATTTTATCTCAATTAAAAATTAGACGAAAAAGAAAGAAAGAGAAGATGCTGAGGAAACATTCAAAATGTTTGTTCAAATGGTGGGGCCTTTATTAATGGCTTTATTAAAGCTGCACCCAGTTTCAAAGATCTTGTCTGCCTCCCTCACGTGGCCTGACTTTCATCAAACAGTCTGATACCGAGAGGGTACAGGCAGTGGGTTTTCCCCCGGTCCTCCCTTACCTTGGTCACACTTCCTGGCAAGCAGGCAGACAAGGAAACTTCCTTCAGTGGGTCCCATGGCCGAGTCCTTAGAGAGTTGAGGCTTGAGGGCCCCCTTCTCTCTCTCTTTTTCCTCCTGTGACCATCCTCAGACCCCAGTGCCTCCTTACTCCCTCTGTCTGTTCTTATATCAAAACCTACTCTATAGACAGGCAATAAAAGGCACACATTCCCTCTACACCTAAGTGACTGATAACAGCTTAAAATAAGAGGCTTCTTGTATTCTAGGCCTCTGCAAATGAGGACCATTGAAGCCAGGTTTCTGCTTCTTGGACAGGGGCATTGAAAATATGCAAAGGGAGAAGGAATGAGTGAACCCAACGTTGCTGAAT